TAAAAACGAGAAAATATAAAAACACGGCCCACGTCTTTTAGATTTTAAGCAATTGTAGTTCGGAGTGTCATCATGGCAGTGGCGCTATTATTAAGTACTACAATTGTAAATAATATTAATTTTCTAACGTTACAATAATTCTATAAACAAGTCATTAATATCGAGTAATTAACGTTTCGGACAAAAAAAATCGTTAGTATGTTTATATATTTCTTCTCAGCCAATCAAAGAAGCCGAGTAGTCAATGCACGGACTGAAAGCGGGAATGGATTCACGTTGCTAATGGAACGGAGCGACAGCGATTTGTTCTCCACGCTCAAAAGCGTTCCGTTATCACTCCAGTTCCAAATCCGCTTCGGGTTTTCCGATTCTTTACTAGTGACAGAAACTCTGTAAAGGCAACAACGGGCACGGCCATTCGAAAACTGTCTGTTGTGTTGCAAACTGGTATCACTTTATTATTGAAATTATAAAAACATTATTTTTGTAGCGCAAACATAGTTTACCGTTTACTGCATTTCTAATAATGTCAGAAAAGTGGTGGATACTGGATATCACTGACTTAAAATTAGGATGTAATTTTATTTTGGAAGACAAAATTCATAAAACAAGGTGTTTGAAACCAAAATTCAAAACTGCGGAATTGGATTTTTGACTCATAACCTTTTATGGTTACTGAGATATATATGATAACTATACAGTCTTCTCTACAGTTAGTAAGTCCACACATGGACTCTTTCCCAGAGACAAAACAACGGGTCTCTATGGTAACCAGTGGCATCTTGGCAGGTAAAAGGTCTGTGTGGGTCAGTTAAACAGGGTAATATGATTTGCCATGCAGCATTGTGCTTTAATCCGATTCCTATCAGAGCTGCATCCATCCTGCATTTGCACAAAGATTCTCCTAATGGCATAAATCACTGCGTCATTCTCCAAATTCTCTCAAAGTTTATCAGTGAAGTGCATTCAAGCTTCAAAAAGGACAAAAGAATCATAAAAACAACCCATTTTGTGAGGCTAAAGGCACAGAAATGATTGTTTTGATGCTCCATAGTGGCAGAATGTCGAGATATGATGTGAAATGAAAAGTCCTTATGTAATTTGTATGGTCTGTCACATGAATATAGACATAGCATTGCTTTAACAAACAAAAGTGTCACCACAAAAAATGACTCACTGCCTTGTTTTGCTTATCGAGTTCATCTTCCATTATTGGAGCTGGCAGAGGTTAGTGAAAGATATTAGAATTCATCAGCTGTGGCAAAGCATATTATAAGCTTGAAGAAACAGAGAGGAAAGGCCTAGACTGCGTTTTGACTGCATGTGATTTGATTTTATGGTTCTTTTTTCATCAAAATAGAGAAAAAATACTGACATGCATTATATTTCATAACACTAAACAGTTAATGGAAATGCAATCAACCTACTCAAGAACGTAACCTGTTCCTTTGTTTGTGAATCATTTCAAATGGCTGAAAGTATTGCCAGACTTTGACGCTGAAGGAAGATCCCAAGCCATATTTAGTGTCCTTTTGACTTGGCCATAATTATGCCATAAAATATAGAAATGTCGTATTTAGTCGTATTCATGAAGTTAAAAGTCAAAATTATGGCACAAGTTGAAATTTTGAGATACTCAAAATTATGATACAAGATCAAAATTATGGCATAGTCAATTATGAGTAAAAAGTTCAATTCATGACAGGTCATAATTATGAGATAAAAGTCAAAAGCAGGGAAATAAAGTGAATTATGAGACAAGTTATAATGACACAAATCGAAATGATGGCATTCTAATTAATGATAAGATCAAAAGTAAAAAAAAAAAATATATATATATATATATATATATAAATATCAGCCGAAATTGAGATACTAAGTCAAAATTATGAGATAAAAATGTGAAATTATGACGGCCATTATGAGATAAAAAGTCAATTACGGGTTAGATAAGTCATAATTATGAAAAAGTCAGTATTATGGCATGCTAAGTGATAATTATGACAAGTCAGTTATGAGATAATTACAAAATTATGACATTCATTTGACAATTTGAAATGTTGAGATAAAAAGTTATAATTATATTCATGGCATAAAAATTCAATTATGGGATAAAAAAAAGTCAACTGAGACGCAAGTTGAAATTATGACATGGTCGTAATTCGGAGAAAAAAAAGGTACAAAATTATGACAACTTGAAATTGAGATACTACGTCAAAATTATGAGATAAAAATTTTAAATTAGTCATATTTATGAGATGAAATGTCTATCTTGAGTCATAAATGACACAAAAACTACAAATAAAATTGTCATAATTATGACTTCTACATTTCTTAAATCAGCTTTTTGCCATACATTTTCATGCCATGACTTATGTCAATTATAATTGACCAAAGCATGATTTTTTTCTTTCTTTTTTTGTGGCAGAAATTGGCTTCCATACTTAGAAAAATTAGTTTCTTCTATTATATTTCATTAGCTTAGCGTCCAATGCTAATTTGATTTCTGCAACATTAAGCTTTCTTTTCTCCCTCCCTAAATGAGGTCATATTTTTTGCTTCCCCAGCTGGTCTTGTTAAGAGACCAGGCGTCTTCAGGGCCTTGAAGAAAGCTCATTAAGATGCCATTAACAGTAATTGGACCAAACAAGGAAGATTCAGAACCAGCGAAGCACTGCCAACCTGTACCCTTTCCTTGGCTCTGCTGTTTGTGTGGCACGTTATGGATGCACTTGATTACACAACATCCTGTTTGAGTAATTTGATATTTCAACACGCTCAGTGGAGCAAGGATCCTCCCACAGTGAATGTTGGGTCAAACAAAATATTCCAAAAAGTGGAAAACCAGTAGGCGGAATTGATCGAAGGCACATAAAAGAAAACAAAGCAGGGGTGCTGGGAAACCACTGACTTAATTTTGTCCACTGCTGCACATTTTAACAAACCAGTGAAACCAGAAAACACTGGTCACAGTAGATGAATAGCGCATCGGTAGCATGTCCATGTGTTTGAGATCGTATCAAGCGCGTAACAGAAAAGAAACTCTGACATTGTCTAGCCTTCGCAGGTCAGGGTGGCTAATTTTTAGCGAAAAGTCCCAGAAAAGTGGTTTGAGCCAGTAAATTTGCACTCATACAAGGGCTCCAAATAGTATTCAGATAGATTTATCATACCTAAAAATGATATTAGATATAAAACAGATACAATTGGACACAAATTTCAGTGTAGCCTCCTTTTTATTTTCTTTATAAAACAGTTTGGTTCTTGATAAAAGAAAATCTGAATTGAACACTGAACAAGCAACTTAATAACAAATAAAACAAACAAATGGCCAGTTTGGTTCATAGAGAAAACAAAATATATATATATATATATATATATATATATATATCAGCCGAAATTAAGTCAAAATTATGAGATAAAAATGTGAAATTATGACGGCCATTATGAGATAAAAAGTCAATTACGGGTTAGATAAGTCATAATTATGAAAAAGTCAATATTATGGCATGCTAAGTGATAATTATGACAAGTCAGTTATGAGATAATTACAAAATTATGACATTCATTTGACAATTTGAAATGTTGAGATAAAAAGTTATAATTATATTCATGGCATAAAAATTCAATTATGGGATAAAAAAAAGTCAACTGAGACGCAAGTTGAAATTATGACATGGTCGTAATTCTGAGAAAAAAAAGTTACAAAATTTGAAATTGAGATACTACGTCAAAATTATGAGATAAAAATTTTAAATTAGTCATATTTATGAGATGAAATGTCTATCTTGAGTCATAAATGACACAAAAACTACAAATAAAATTGTCATAATTATGACTTCTACATTTCTTAAATCAGCTTTTTGCCATACATTTTCATGCCATGACTTATGTCAATTATAATTGACCAAAGCATGATTTTTTTCTTTCTTTTTTTGTGGCAGAAATTGGCTTCCATACTTAGAAAAATTAGTTTCTTCTATTATATTTCATTAGCTTAGCATCCAATGCTAATTTGATTTCTGCAACATTAAGCTTTCTTTTCTCCCTCCCTAAATGAGGTCATATTTTTTGCTTCCCCAGCTGGTCTTGTTAAGAGACCAGGCGTCTTCAGGGCCTTGAAGAAAGCTCATTAAGATGCCATTAACAGTAATTGGACCAAACAAGGAAGATTCAGAACCAGCGGAGCACTGCCAACCTGTACCCTTTCCTTGGCTCTGCTGTTTGTGTGGCACGTTATGGATGCACTTGATTACACAACATCCTGTTTGAGTAATTTGATATTTCAACACCCTCAGTGGAGCAAGGATCCTCCCACAGTGAATGTTGGGTCAAACAAAATATTCCAAAAAGTGGAAAACCAGTAGGCGGAATTGATCGAAGGCACATAAAAGAAAACAAAGCAGGGGTGCTGGGAAACCACTGACTGAATTTTGTCCACTGCTGCACATTTTAACAAACCAGTGAAACCAGAAAACACTGGTCACAGTAGATGAATAGCGCATCGGTAGCATGTCCATGTGTTTGAGATCGTATCAAGCACGTAACAGAAAAGAAACTCTGACATTGTCTAGCCTTCGCAGGTCAGGGTGGCTAATTTTTAGCGAAAAGTCCCAGAAAAGTGGTTTGAGCCAGTAAATTTGCACTCATACAAGGGCTCCAAATAGTATTCAGATAGATTTATCATACCTAAAAATGATATTAGATATAAAACAGATACAATTGGACACAAATTTCAGTGTAGCCTCCTTTTTATTTTCTTTATAAAACAGTTTGGTTCTTGATAAAAGAAAATCTGAATTGAACACTGAACAAGCAACTTAATAACAAATAAAACAAACAAATGGCCAGTTTGGTTCATAGAGAAAACATAAAAACACACAAAACTTTAGCACTGTACATGTAAATACATACAAATAAAGAACAATGTGCTACTGGAGATATATTGCGCTAAAAAAGAATAAGAAATGTATCTGCTTTGACGTGTCGCTGCTTTTCTTATATATCATTTGATATATTTCTTGGATGTGGCAGCCAAAGAAACGAAAGAACAAAAGTTACTGAACATGACGAGAGTACAAAACATGCAGTGCTTCTGCACTGTCAGGCTATGTGACTGGAGCGCCAGTGTAGGATGTTGGCCACGGCGGACAGGCGCTCAGCTGGTCTCAGAGCTAACGGAGATATGTGGTGCTGGAACGGAGTGCTTGGACCCAGTCCCAGATGAACTGGACTGCCGAACAATTGCATTATGAAGTGGGAGAGCTGGGGCTGGACTGGAATAATGGGTACACCTGGAAAAACTAGGAAAATTTGACTGTGAAATGAATCATGTCGTCAATGCAACTACTGTAGATTCGACTTTTATATGACAACGATTTTTCAGACATTAGGATATTTCGTATTGTGGCAGTGTTGATGTGCTGTACCTGGATAGATGGAGTTGATCTGGATGGGGTTAGGAGTGCATGTGGTTAAGACGGGCTTTGGTTTAGCTGGAGAAGCACACATCTGCGGGTCACTTACTGCTGCTTGGACAGGTGGAGGAGTAGGCACGGTCTCAGGCTATGTGAAAAAACATGAAAAAACTAATGTGGCCACGTAGATCAGTTAATGTGCTTTAAAAAATGAGCTAATAAGCAGAGTAATTATCACCAAAGGGAACTCTGAAAAAAATTGGAGAAAAAATAAAATAAAACAAAACAACAAAACAAATCCAAATCAAACAGGTCCCATCTGTCATTGGTCAGACAATCAAATAGTCCTGCCCCAAACTCATGCCATTGATTGAGTTAGAGTTGGGCTGGTCAGAATACGCTAACAAACAGCAATGTTTTTATAGCACCACAGTAACACACTTTTAGGTGAATCAACATGCAAAAGGCTTAAAGTTGTCTTTAAGCAAGTATTTTAACAGATATTTTTTCAATATTTTTTTTTATTAATGATATTACATATTAATAATAGATCATAATATTAAGCTAGTATTTTAAAATAAATATGACACTTAAGCTGCTCTGTACAAAAAAAAAATACTATTAAACCATAGACTGTATAAAAACATGGACGTAGTGTCCGTGACGTCACCCGTAGGTTTCTGAAGAGCGTTTTTGAAGCCTAAATTGGGCGGAGCGGGCCGTCGCCATCTTGGTAGCGCGTCACTCCCGGATAATTGAAAATGGGCAATGAGGCGGGAGCTGGTTGCTGAAACCACACCCACCTAGCTCGACGGTGGTGACAGCAGCGGCAATCCACCTGTCACTCAAGTGACCATGCCCTTAATTATGCAGAACTTTAAGGCTTAATTTAATTTAAACAGACGAGTTATAAAAAAATTCGCCCACCTCACAGTTGTCATGAAATGCAAAATTAGCTATATAGACCAAAACCACTTTTTGTACCAGGCTGTAAAAATTTTTCTGCTGTAAAGTTGGGCGTTTTAACATGGGGAGTCTATGGGGCTGACTCCTTTTTGGAGCCATGGAGTCGATGAATTGCAGTTTTAGTCATTTCCGTGTTGGTTTCACGAGAGAGACCGGAAGGTTGCCACTTGTATTAAACAAATGTAGCCATATAGGGTCTAGATAATGAATTATGAGACAAGTTATAATGACACAAATCGAAATGATGGCATTCTAATTAATGATAAGATCAAAAGTAAAAAAAAAAAATATATATATATATATATATATATAAATATCAGCCGAAATTGAGATACTAAGTCAAAATTATGAGATAAAAATGTGAAATTATGACGGCCATTATGAGATAAAAAGTCAATTACGGGTTAGATAAGTCATAATTATGAAAAAGTCAATATTATGGCATGCTAAGTGATAATTATGACAAGTCAGTTATGAGATAATTACAAAATTATGACATTCATTTGACAATTTGAAATGTTGAGATAAAAAGTTATAATTATATTCATGGCATAAAAATTCAATTATGGGATAAAAAAAAGTCAACTGAGACGCAAGTTGAAATTATGACATGGTCGTAATTCGGAGAAAAAAAAGGTACAAAATTATGACAACTTGAAATTGAGATACTACGTCAAAATTATGAGATAAAAATTTTAAATTAGTCATATTTATGAGATGAAATGTCTATCTTGAGTCATAAATGACACAAAAACTACAAATAAAATTGTCATAATTATGACTTCTACATTTCTTAAATCAGCTTTTTGCCATACATTTTCATGCCATGACTTATGTCAATTATAATTGACCAAAGCATGATTTTTTTCTTTCTTTTTTTGTGGCAGAAATTGGCTTCCATACTTAGAAAAATTAGTTTCTTCTATTATATTTCATTAGCTTAGCGTCCAATGCTAATTTGATTTCTGCAACATTAAGCTTTCTTTTCTCCCTCCCTAAATGAGGTCATATTTTTTGCTTCCCCAGCTGGTCTTGTTAAGAGACCAGGCGTCTTCAGGGCCTTGAAGAAAGCTCATTAAGATGCCATTAACAGTAATTGGACCAAACAAGGAAGATTCAGAACCAGCGAAGCACTGCCAACCTGTACCCTTTCCTTGGCTCTGCTGTTTGTGTGGCACGTTATGGATGCACTTGATTACACAACATCCTGTTTGAGTAATTTGATATTTCAACACGCTCAGTGGAGCAAGGATCCTCCCACAGTGAATGTTGGGTCAAACAAAATATTCCAAAAAGTGGAAAACCAGTAGGCGGAATTGATCGAAGGCACATAAAAGAAAACAAAGCAGGGGTGCTGGGAAACCACTGACTGAATTTTGTCCACTGCTGCACATTTTAACAAACCAGTGAAACCAGAAAACACTGGTCACAGTAGATGAATAGCGCATCGGTAGCATGTCCATGTGTTTGAGATCGTATCAAGCGCGTAACAGAAAAGAAACTCTGACATTGTCTAGCCTTCGCAGGTCAGGGTGGCTAATTTTTAGCGAAAAGTCCCAGAAAAGTGGTTTGAGCCAGTAAATTTGCACTCATACAAGGGCTCCAAATAGTATTCAGATAGATTTATCATACCTAAAAATGATATTAGATATAAAACAGATACAATTGGACACAAATTTCAGTGTAGCCTCCTTTTTATTTTCTTTATAAAACAGTTTGGTTCTTGATAAAAGAAAATCTGAATTGAACACTGAACAAGCAACTTAATAACAAATAAAACAAACAAATGGCCAGTTTGGTTCATAGAGAAAACATAAAAACACACAAAACTTTAGCACTGTACATGTAAATACATACAAATAAAGAACAATGTGCTACTGGAGATATATTGCGCTAAAAAAGAATAAGAAATGTATCTGCTTTGACGTGTCGCTGCTTTTCTTATATATCATTTGATATATTTCTTGGATGTGGCAGCCAAAGAAACGAAAGAACAAAAGTTACTGAACATGACGAGAGTACAAAACATGCAGTGCTTCTGCACTGTCAGGCTATGTGACTGGAGCGCCAGTGTAGGATGTTGGCCACGGCGGACAGGCGCTCAGCTGGTCTCAGAGCTAACGGAGATATGTGGTGCTGGAACGGAGTGCTTGGACCCAGTCCCAGATGAACTGGACTGCCGAACAATTGCATTATGAAGTGGGAGAGCTGGGGCTGGACTGGAATAATGGGTACACCTGGAAAAACTAGGAAAATTTGACTGTGAAATGAATCATGTCGTCAATGCAACTACTGTAGATTCGACTTTCATATGACAACGATTTTTCAGACATTAGGATATTTCGTATTGTGGCAGTGTTGATGTGCTGTACCTGGATAGATGGAGTTGATCTGGATGGGGTTAGGAGTGCATGTGGTTAAGACGGGCTTTGGTTTAGCTGGAGAAGCACACATCTGCGGGTCACTTACTGCTGCTTGGACAGGTGGAGGAGTAGGCACGGTCTCAGGCTATGTGAAAAAACATGAAAAAACTAATGTGGATCAGTTAATCAGTTAATGTGCTTTAAAAAATGAGCTAATAAGCAGAGTAATTATCACCAAAGGGAACTCTGAAAAAAAAAAATAAAATAATAAAATAAAACAAAACAACAAAACAAATCCAAATCAAACAGGTCCCATCTGTCATTGGTCAGACAATCAAATAGTCCTGCCCCAAACTCATGCCATTGATTGAGTTAGAGTTGGGCTGGTCAGAATACGCTAACAAACAGCAATGTTTTTATAGCACCACAGTAACACACTTTTAGGTGAATCAACATGCAAAAGGCTTAAAGTTGTCTTTAAGCAAGTATTTTAACAGATATTTTTTCAATATTTTTTTTTATTAATGATATTACATATTAATAATAGATCATAATATTAAGCTAGTATTTTAAAATAAATATGACACTTAAGCTGCTCTGTACAAAAAAAAAATACTATTAAACCATAGACTGTATAAAAACATGGACGTAGTGTCCGTGACGTCACCCGTAGGTTTCTGAAGAGCGTTTTTGAAGCCTAAATTGGGCGGATCGGGCCGTCGCCATCTTGGTAGCGCGTCACTCCCGGATAATTGAAAATGGGCAATGAGGCGGGAGCTGGTTGCTGAAACCACACCCACCTAGCTCGACGGTGGTGACAGCAGCGGCAATCCACCTGTCACTCAAGTGACCATGCCCTTAATTATGCAGAACTTTAAGGCTTAATTTAATTTAAACAGACGAGTTATAAAAAAATTCGCCCACCTCACAGTTGTCATGAAATGCAAAATTAGCTATATAGACCAAAACCACTTTTTGTACCAGGCTGTAAAAATTTTTCTGCTGTAAAGTTGGGCGTTTTAACATGGGGAGTCTATGGGACTGACTCCTTTTTGGAGCCATGGAGTCGATGAATTGCAGTTTTAGTCATTTCCGTGTTGGTTTCACGAGAGAGACCGGAAGGTTGCCACTTGTATTAAACAAATGTAGCCATATAGGGTCTAGATAATTTAATTTAATTTTTTTAAACTGTTTAGAGAAGTACATGAATTTTGAAGGGTTTGGATTAATCAAATGGCTTAATTATAGTTGTCTCTGCATATTTTAGCCAGTATTTAAGCATGTCTATTAGACATGAATATTATTTTAAGCAAGTAATTTAATATAAAAATGACACTTTAGCTACTCTGTGAGAAAACCGTAATATTATTAAACAAATGTAGCCACATAGATAATTGTATTTATTTACTTATTTGTTGTTTTGTTTATAGAAGTATTATAGCTTATTTTATCAAGCATTTTAACAGAAAAAAATATTTTTAATTGACAAATATAAAAAAAAATCACAACATTAATTCTTAATATTATATATTTTTTTTTACGTGACATGTGGCCAAGTATGGTAACCCATACTTGGAATTAGTGCTCTGCATTTAACCCATCCTAAGTGCACACACACAGCAGTGAACACACACACACCGTGAACACACACCCGGAGCAGTGGGCAGCCATTTATGCTGCGGCGCCCGGGGAGCAGTTGGGGGTTCGGTGCCTTGCTCAAGGGCACCTCAGTCATGGTATTGAAGGTGAGAGAGAGCGCTGTACATTCACTCCCCCCACCTACAATCCCTGCCGGTACGAGACTCGAACCCTC